CTTGGATGGGAGACTGCCTGGGAATATCAGGTGCTGTAAGCTTTATCGTTTTCTTCACTAAGCAGGGTCGGCCTGATTAGTACTTGGATGGGAGACTGCCTGGGAATACCAGGTGCTGTAAGCTTTAGCGTTTTCTTCACTAAGCAGGGTCGGGCCTGGTTAGTACTTGGATGGGAGACTGCCTGGGAATACCAGGTGATGTAAGCTTTAGTGTTTTCATCACTACTTATCTAATACACTGGCCTACAGAGTGGCTGATCTTTAAATAGCCCATCCTTTGGAGCAATCCCAGTTTATGGCCATAACACCCTGTCTGCACCCGATCTCGTCTGATCTCGGAAGTTAAATAGGGTCGGGCCTGGTTAGTACTTGGATGGGAGACTGCCTGGGAATACCAGGTGCTGTAAGCTTTAATTTTTTCTTCACTACTTATCTAATACACTGGCCTATAGAGTGGCTGATCTTTAAATAGCCCACCCTTTGGGACAGTCCTCGCTTAGGGCGCTAGTGAGTCGCACTGCACAGGAAGTGTGTTGGCTGCAGTAGGGAGAGGAAGGCTCTTCCACATCTCTGTTTGTTTAGTTTGTTTTGGAGTTTTTGTATATTTGTTATTTGGACTTTTTTGTTAGTTTTTTGGTTTCTAAACCACCTAACAGCAGCTTAGTGCTGTCTGGAAGGTGGTTTTTTTTGTTTTTTCAGTGTTTATTTTATTTTATTTTTGTATATTTTTATTTTTTGGACGGACCCACGGTTAAAGACTTGGAAATGGCAGGAGAAACAGGAAAGGAAAACAACAATGGACTGGATTACCGACAACGAGCTGGAAACAGAAAGGATGGAGAAATGAGGAAAAGTCTGGGGGAAAGGAAATATTTAAAAGAGGCAACTGTGATTGTGGAAGTGGATAAAGTGAATGGAGTAAGAGCAGAGTATGTAATCAAAGCAGTATCAGAGAGGATTGGAGGAGGGAAAATTTTGGCGGTGAGACCGAGACAAGGAAAAGAATATGAAGTAACATTGGAGAAGGAGGAAACGTGTGAGGAATTGATGGATGGGCTGACAATAAAAGGAACTAACTGCGAGATAAAAAAATTGTAAAACAGAGAATTTGTTGTTTCTTTTATGCATTTGCCCGTCTACCTGGAAGATGAACAAATTTTGGAGAAATTGGAGGGTTGGGGGGTTTTCCCCATTTCAGAAATTAAAAGGAGGCTTTACACGGGCACTGATATTGAAGATGGCACAAGGTATGTCAAAGTGAGGTTCCCTAGAGAGGTGGTGTCCCTCCCGTATAGCACGAAGATGGAGACAGCAGAAGGGCAGCAGTATTGCAGGGTAATGCACAGCTGCCAGGTGAAAACCTGTAGGTTGTGCATGAGCCCCGAGCATCTGCTGAAAGATTGCCCAGATTTTAAATGCTATAAGTGCGGGGAAAAGGGACACTTTGCACGGGACTGCAATACTGTCAAGTGCCCGGACTGCCATGAGTTTTTAATTAGATGTGAGTGTTGGATGGAAGAGGGGGAAGGAGGTGGAGACGACCAGGTGGACGGGCAGATGCATGAAAGGAACAACAAGGAAAGAAACAACGAAGAGGAGCAGGAAGCAGAGAAACCTCAACAAAAAGAAACAGGAGAGGAATCAGAGAACGGAGAGGAAGGAGAAGGAGAAAAAGAGAACGATAAGGATAAGGAACAGACAACAAAGCAGGACACACAATTGACTGAAATGGAGATATCGGACAGTTTTAAAAGTTTTCTGGATGATGTGGCGAGAGATGGACAAGGAATAGAAGATCAAAACAAAGAAACGGACAATGAAGAAGAAGCAAGGACGGACAACATGGAAGAAGACAGAGGGGGGAGAGGGCAAATAAGAAGAAGATCATTAAAGGTAAAACCAAATGTGGAAAAAGCAAGGAAAAAAATAATGACAAACAGATATGAAGTGTTAAGAGGTTTGGAGGGAGAAGATGGAGAATAATGGCTTGTAGGTATTTATTTTTCTTTCTTTTAATGGTTTTAAGTTGTGTTACTTTTAATGCAAGGGGACTGATGGACATGGGAAAATTTGAAAGAGTAAAAGAGAAATGTAAAGGAGAAGATGTTATTGCTTTGCAAGAAACAAATTGGAAAGAGAGTGTGATGATGGACTATAAAAGGAAATGGGAAGGGGATATTTTATATAACAATGGGGATGGAAGGCTTGGGAGAGGAGTGGCGTTTTTAATAAGAAAAGATATGTTTAATGTAAGCAAAGAAGTGTATAAAGATAAGATGGGAAAATGTATAGCGGTAGAAGTAATTTGTGATGGACGTGAACTGATTTTAGTGAATGTACATGCGCCAACAGAGGAGAAAGAAAAGAAAGAATTTTTTAATGTTTTAAGGAGTATTATGAAGAAATATAGAGAAATAATAATGATGGGGGATTTTAATACTGTTTTCAGTAAGCAGGATATGGCAGAAGGAATGGTTTTTAAATCGGACGCAGGGAGAAAAGAATTAAAGGAATTGATGAGTGAAAATAACTTAATAGATGTGTGGAGAGAAATGAATGTTGGAAAAAAGGAGTTTTCAAGAAGGCAAATAGTGGGACATTTTATATGTAAAACAAGAATTGATTATGTGTTGTGTACAAGAAATGTGGGGAATTTTATTGAAAAAGTCAGATATGAAGAAACTAGTTTTAGTGATCATAAGTTTTTACGTTTTAAAATAGATTGGAGTAATATGCAAAGGGGACCGGGAGTATGGATCTTAAATACAGAGATTTTAAAGAATGAAGACTATGTTTCAAAGGTTAAAGAGATTATGGAAAAGGAAAAGGAAAATTAAATTTATGATGAGGATAAGAGAATATGGTGGGAGAACTTAAAGTTTTTAATAAAAAAATTTTCTATGAAGTATTGTAGTATTATGCGGAAATGCAGAATACTCAAAGAAAGAGAAATAAAGGAAAGCTTGGAAAGGGAACTGAATA